ATTTTAACTGTATTAATTCTTCCTATCCATGAATGTGGTATGTATTTCTATTTATTTGTATCTTCTTTGATTTCTCTCTTCAATGTCTTATAATTTTCTGAGTGCAGGTCTTTTACTTCTTTGGTTAAATTTATTCCTAGGTATTATTGTTTTTGAAGTAATTGTAAATTGGATTGATTTCCTGATTTCTTCTTCTGATAGTTTATTATTGGTGTATACAAATGCAACTGGTTTCTGAATATCAATTTTGTATCCTGCTACCTTACTAAATTCATTTATCAGTTCTAACAGTTTTTAGGTGGAGTCTTTTGGATTCTCTATATATAGTATCATGTCATCTGCATATAACGACAATTTTACTTCCTCTTTTCCAATTTAGATGCCTTTTATTTCAATTTCTTGTCTGACTGCTGTAGCCAGAACTTCCAGAACTATGGTGAATAGAAGTGGTGAAAGTGGGCAGCCTTGTCTTGTTCCTGATCTTAAGGGGAAAGCTTTTAGCCTTTCCCCATTGAGTACGATGTTTGCTGCGGGCTTATCAAATATGGCCTTTATTATGTTGAGATATGATCCCACTAGTCCCACTTTGCTAAGAGTTTTTATCATAAATGGCTGCTGGATTTTGTTAAATGCTTTTTCTGTGTCTATTGATATGATCATATGATTTTTATTTTTCATTTTGTTAGTGTAATGTATTACATTAATTGATTTGCAGATATCGAACCAACCTTGTCGATCAGTAATGAATCCCACTTGATCATGGTGTATGATCTTTTTAATGTGATGCTGAATTCGGTTTGCTAGTATTTTGTTGAGGATTTTTGCATCTATGTTCATTAGGGATATCGGCCTGTAGTTTTCTTTTTTTGTAATATCTTTGTTTGATTTTGGGATCAGTAATAGTGGCCTCATAAAATGTGCTTGGGAGCCTTCCCTCCTTCTGTATTTTTTGGAATAGTTTGAGGAGAATAGTTATTAATTCTTTATTGAATGTTTTGTAAAATTCATCTGTGAAGCCATCTGGTCCAGGACTTTTTTTTTTGTTGTAAGCTTGTTGATTACTGATTCAATTTCTTTGGTAGTAATCAGTCTGTTCAGTTTCTGTTTCTTCTTGGTTCAGACTTGGTAGATTGTTGCTTCTTGAAATTTATCCATTTCTTCCAGATTGTCAAATTTGTTGGCATATAGTTGCTCATCATATTTTCTTATAATTTACTGTATTACTGTGGTATCTGTTGTCACTTCTCTTTTATTTCTGATTTTATTAATATGTGTCCTCTCTTTTTCTTGGTGAAT